TTGAAATTATAAAACATTTAAACAAATTTTCTGTTTGTACTATAGTTATTGAACTCATTATTTTGGTAAATATGAATATCACATACTATACTACCTCTGTTCTGTCATCCACCATTTGAAATTATAAAACATTTAAACAAATTTTCTGTTTGTACTATAGGTAGTTATTGAACTCATTATTTTGGTTTAATATGAGAAAGCAGTAGACATCTTAGTGGGAGCTATTAGCATCAAGGCTATATATTGTATATACTGGGTGCTGTTGATATTGGTTTCAACATTAAAGGGAAAGCATTGGAAACCTTCAGGGACACTATAGTTCTATAGGGTAGGATTTATGCTGCCTTATATTCATACTTCTAGATGTGAAAACACACTAACAATATGAAAAAAAACAAGGGAATAAAGTGCCCCAAACAAACCAATCAGGTGCTTTAACAAGAGAAGCCACTGATAACAGTAGAAGAAATGCCCAAGAATGAGTTCACATTGTACATAGTTAAATTGATATGTGAAGTAAAGGATAATATAAGGCAAGAAATCAAAGAAAAAAATACAGGAAGTGAAGGACCACTTCAATAGAGATCGTAAAAAAAACAAACAAACAAACAAAAAAAACAAGCAGAAATCCTTGAATTGAAAGATTCAGTAAACCAAATTATAAATTAAATAGAAAGCATCACCAACAGATCAGATCACTTGGAAGACAGAACCTCAGACAATGAAGACAAAATATATAATCTTCTTAAGGGAAGTATATATAAGGAGGACACAACAATTATAAATATTTATGCCCCAAATAAAGAAACATCTATGTACATAAAAAAAACTTTCTTAATTTCAAGAATCAAATAGACCATAATACAATAATACTGGGTGACTTTATCACACATCTCTCACTACTTTACAGATCTTCCAAACCAGAGCTAAATAAGGAAACTATAGAACTAAATAATACAATCAATAATTTAGACTTAATAGACATATATAGAATATTTCATCCATCCACAAGCAAATATACTTTCTTCTCAGCAGCACATGGCTCCTTCTATAAAATAAACCATATCTATGCCACAAAACAACTCTCAATAAGTACAAAAAAACAGAGATAATACCCTTCATTCTATCAAACCAAAATGGAATGAAATTAGAAATCAATTACAAAATAAAAAATACAAGCTACTGTAACAAATGGAGACTAAATAATACACTATTGAGTGGATAGTAGAAGAAATCAAGGATGAAATAAAAAATCCTTAGAGGTAAATGAGAACACTGATATAACATATCAAAATCTCTGGGACACTATGAAAACAGTACTAAGAGGAAAGTTTATTGTATTAAGTGCATTCGTTAAAATAATAAAAAGTCAACAAATTAATGACCTAACACTACATCTAAAAGCCCTAGAAAAAGGAGAAAAAATCAATACCAAAAGCAATAGAAGACAGGAAATAATTTAAATCAGAGCTGCAATCAATGACATTGAAATAAAAGAAACAATTGAAAAAAAATTGACAAAACAAAAAGTTGATTCTTTGAAAAATAAATAAAATAGATAAACCCCTGACCATGCTAATGAGGAGAAAAAAAGAGAAAACTCAAATTACTACAAGATGAATAAGGAAATATCACAACAGACACGTCTGAAATACAGAAGATAATAGAAACTATTTTGAAAATTTATATTCCAATAAAATAGACAATATCGAAGACATAGACCAATTTCTAGAGACATGACCTTCCCAAACTGAATGAGGAGGTTATACATGATTTAAACAAATAAATTTCAAGTAAAGAAATAGAAAATGCCATCAAAGACTACCAAGCAAGAAAAGCCCAGGACCAGATTGATTGCATCCTAGTTCTACAAGACTTTCAAAGAAGAAATAATACTAATACTCCTCAAAGTATTCCATGAAATAGAAAAGGAGGGATTCCTTCCAAACTCATTCTATGAGATTAATATCATCCTGAAACTAAAACCAAAGACACATCAAGGAAAGAAAACTTCAGACCAATATCACTGATGAACATAGATGCAAAATTTTCAATAATATTCTGGCAAATCGCATACAAAAACATATTTAAAAAGATAATGCACCACAGTCAAGTGGGGTTCATCCCAGGGGTACAGGGTTGGTTCAACATGTGGAAATCAATAATCATTATTCATCATATTAACATATTTAAAACAAGAATCATATGATCATCTCAGTAGATGCAGTAAAAGCATTTGACAAAATGTAGCATACCTTCATGTTCAAATAAACTACAAAAAATAGGGATAGTAGGAACATACCTCAATATTATAAAAGCTATATATGCTAAGCCCAAGGCCAGCATCATTCTTAATGGAGAAAAATTGAAAACATTCCCTCTAAAAACTGGAACAAGACAAGGATGTCCTTTTTCACCACTTCTATTCAACATCATCCTTGAAACTCTAGCCAGAGCAATTAGACAAAAGAAAGAAATGAAAGGGATACAAATAGGTAAAGAAGAACTCAAACTATCACTATTTGCTGATGACATGATTCTATATCTAGAAGTTCCAAAAAATTCCACCAGACAACTCCTAGAACTAGTAAATGAATTTAGCAAAGTAGCAGGATATAAAATCAACACCCATAAATCAAATGCATTCTTATACATCAGCAATTAATCCTCTGAAAAAGAAATGAGGAAAACTATCCCATTCACAATAGCCTCAAAGAAAATAAAAATAAAATACCTGGTAATCAATCTAACATAAAAAGTGAAAGACTTCTACAATGAAAACTACAGAACACTAAAGAAATTGAAAGAAACCTCAGAAGAAAGATCTCCCATGCTCCTGGATAGGCAGAATTAATATTGTCAAAAGGGCCATATTACCAAAAGCATTATACAGATTTAATGCAATTCCTATTAACATCCCAATTATATATTCATAGAAATATAAAAAGCAATCATGAAATTTATGTGGAAAAAATAATAGACCCAGAAATTCCAAAGAAATCCTTAGCAAGAAAAGTGAAGCAGGAAGCATCACAATACCAGACAAAAACCATATACTACAGAGCAATAGTAACAAAAATGGCATGGTATTGGTACCAAAATAGACTTGTAGACCAATGGTACCAATTAGAGGACACAGAGACAAACCCACATAAATACAGTTATGTCATACTAGACAAAGGTGCCAAAAACATTCACTAGAGAAAAGATAGCCTATTCAACAAATGGTGCTGCCAAAACTGGAAATCCGTATAAAATTAAACCTGTGTCACTCACCCTGCACAAAAATCAACTCAAAGTGGATCAAAGACTTAGACACTAGAATAGAGATCCTGAACCTAAGAGAGAAAAAAAAATAGGCCCAAATCTTCACCATGTCAGCCTAGGATCTGACTTCCTTAACAAGACTCCGAAAGCACAAGAAGTAAAATCAAGATTCAATAAATGGAATGGATTCAAATTAAAAAGCTTTTCTCAGCAAAGGAAATAATCAACAATGTTGAGTAGACAGCCTACAGATTGGGAGAAAATCCTTACCAAAAGCACCTCCGATAAAGCATTAATCTCTGTGATATATAAAGAACTCAAAACACTTAACACCAACAAAACAAATAACCCAACCAATAAATGGGCTAATGAACTGAACAGACGCTTCACAGAAGAAATACAATCAGTCAACAAATACATGAAAAAGTATTCAATATCTCTAGCAATTAGAGAAATTCAAATCAAAACTATACTAAAATTTCATCTCACTCCTGTCAAAATGGCAATCATCAAGAATACAGAAAACAATAGATGTTGGCGAGGATGTGGTGAAAAAGGTACACTCATACAATGCTGGTGGGACTGCAAATTGGTAAAACCACTATGGAAAGTAGTATGGAGATGCCTCAGAAAACTGGGAATGGAACCACCATTTGACCCAGCTATCCCACTCCTCAGTTTATACTCAAAGAACTTAAAATCAGCATACTGCAATAATGCAACCGTGTCAATGATTATAGCAGCTCAATTCACAATAGCTCAACTATGGAACCATCCTAGGTGTCCCTCAATAGATGAATGGATAAAGAAAATGTGGTATGTATACTCAATGGAATATTACTCAGCTTTAAAGAAGAATGAAATTATGACATTCGCCAGTAAATGGATGGAGTTGGAGAATATCATGCTAAGTGAAATAAGCAAATCTCACAAAACCAAAGGCCGAATATTTCCCCTAATATGCAGATGCTAATTCACAATAAGATGGAGGGGGGCACTAAAGAATAGCCTTACCTTAGATTAGGTAGAGGGAAGTGATGGGAGGGGAAGGTAGGGGATATGGGGATGGGACATAATTTATGTATATATGTGACTACATGATCAATATGATTCTGCAATATATATACTCAGAAAAAAGAAATTATATCCCATCTATGTATGATATATAAAAGTACATAAATGCATTTGACTCTCATGTATAATTAAAATAAATTTTAAAATTAATTTAAAAAGGAAAATAATAATTAAAAAGAAAGAAAGTATGTTGTACTTCACATTCAAGCCTGGAAAATACCCAAATTCAAAATTCAAAGTACGGATTCTACTGAATATCAATGGATTTTGCACTGTTCTAATAGGGGGGTGGGGTGGTTTGTATGTGTTTGTGTGTGTATGTGTTCCATAAGATTTTCTGTATACAAGATGATGTTATGTGTGAACAGAGATAATTTACTTCTTTCTCTTCCAATCTGGGCACTGTACCAATACCACACTCTTTCATTGTTACAGCTTCACCATAGGTCCTACTATCCGATAAAGTTAGTTTTCTACCCTTACTCCTTATAAAGGTGAAAAATTATAAGTTGAAGCATTGCAAGCTGAGGACCAGCATTAGAATGTGTAGTTTTAACTTAGAATGTTATGGCACTAAACCAGAAACAAAGTACATTTTATTCCATATTCTCAATATATTTTTAATATAAAAACTTTTATAAAATGGGGAATAGTCTTACTCTCTGTCACAAGGATTGTGGTGGGTCTGGCACTGTGATCCAGCTGTCTTGATTCTCACTCCAACTGCTTGTCCAGCACAGTCTTCACCCTGCTGGGTATTTCTTTGGTTGTACTGCCTTTATGGGGCTCAACTGGTATCACATGCAGATTCTCAGGTGCTATGCAACCCTGATATTAACCTCAGCTGTACAATAGAAAGAGAGTGAATTAAGGCAATAAAATGGAGAAAGTATAAGGAAATTTCCCTAACAAAAACACTAGCAGGTATATTATTCTGAAACACAGGGATGAAGTGAAATCCTATCCCTGATATAGATGTTATATCTATTTTTCTCTCATGTTCTTATAATATGAAATGCTCTCAGTGACACAGTTATGTTATGCTGAAATCATCTCCCTTTGGAAAATAATGAGGTAAAGACAGAAGAGAAGGAAAATAACATCTGCCTTATGTCTATTTTGGCCAGACTTTATGAAGCAGCATTTTTTGGTTATTGTTTTCTGTTTGAATCCTTGGGTTGGGGCTTTATCTCTTAGACACACACACATTTTTTCAATGTAATTTCAATCACACTCTACATGCTTATAGTCCACTAATACAAAATATGTTTCATTACTTTGTTGGCTCACTTTCATAAAAACAGTTGTCTGGAGAAAATATAGGCTATCTGATAAGCGCCATCTTGTGACCAAAACCAGAACTATCACTAACAAATACTTGTGGGAGAGGGGTGGGAATTATATCCTGCTAGCCAGCAGATTTCTCAGGCTTCTAGAATATACTATGTTCAAATTTAGAGCTTTGTTATTCACTACACAAAAACAGAATCCAAATATCTTCACCTGCAATGGTCTTATTTTTTTAAAAAAAGAAACACTGAATGCTTACTGAAAATGAGAAAAATATAAAAATTATACTTTGAGAAAGAACACTATTATTTCTTGTATATTTTTCCAGAGTTTTCATTACATATGTACATTAATGCATATCATTTCAAGCCAGTTTTTTTACCCTGCTTAAGCTCACAGTTTGAACATTTTTCCATATTAGTAAGTATTCTCAACATGATTCTTCAGTGAATCAGTTCAAATGCAATTCTCCCCTCCCAACTTTGAAGCATTTTATCTCAATCTTTTTTTTATGGTTATTGTTGGAAAATGTCTAAATATATATTAAAAATCATTTAAAAACAGAGATACTGAAGCTTGTTATATCTCCTCAACTACACAAATAACTCCATAAGTTAGTTGCTTGTCTATGCACACTCACATGAACACTGCACTTTTCATTTGGGGGTGTGTGTGTGTGTGTGTATAGTATCAGGAATTTAACCCAGGGACATTTAACCACTGACCCACATCCCCAGCTCTTTTTAAAATTTTGAAACAGGGTCTTGTTAAGTTGCTGAAGCTGGCTTTAGAACTTGCCATCTTTCTGCCTCAACCTCGGAGCTATGCCTTATATATATTTTTTTTCTGATTTGCTTATGCATACTTTATTGACTTAGTTTTTTCTCCTTAAACAACATTCAATGCTGCTTTCCATTCTGAAATTTAATTTGTTTCGCCTAATACTACTTCACAGACATCTTTTCTTCTTCCTTTTTTTGGGGGGGGGGAATTGAACTCAGGGGCACCTGACCACTGAGACACATCCCCAGCCCAATTCTGTACTTTATTTAGAGGCATTTAGAGACAGGGTTCCACTGAGTTGCGTAGTGCCTTGCTTTTGTTGATGCTGGCTTTGAACTTGTGCTCCTCCTGCCTCAGGCTCTGGAGCTGCTGGGATTACAGGAGTGCCATAACATGCCTGGCCACAGACATCTTCTGAAATCACTGAGTTCATACGTTTATTTTTTGTCTATATAATGTTCCATTCAATGGAAGTATCATGCCACGTAGTAACTTTTAAAACTGCTAATAGAAATAAGCCAAATCCTCTTTCAATCTCACTTTTAAACTTAGATGATGTAAGAAAAATGATTCTTGCTGACCACAGCTATACCTGTGGCCTGAAAGGATGATTTGCAGTGAGGACACAGGCAGGACTTGAAACAGCAACCAGGTTACCTATTTGACCAGGTCCAGGAAAAATTCCACTAATGGCAAAAAAAAGGGGGGAGTCAGAAAGGAGAACATATCTGGGGACCTGTGGATATTTGTGTGTCTGACACATAATGTGTATGTTGTTTCAGCAAAATTTTGTTCTTCTAATTATAAAAATGATCATAGAAAAAAGCAATTCTAAAAAATGCTGAAACAAATTAAAATACATTTTTAAAAACTTAGCAATCTGAACATTGAGAGATGCTGTTAACACCAGAGCCTAGTTCCCCCAATAAAAATGCAGATTTTTACAAGTGTTATCACTCAAAAGCACATCTGAATCCCTTTCCATGTATATGTACATTTATCTTTGTGTTTGTATATGTCATTCATTTTCAATGTTTACATTTTTCTATCAGTTATTTTTGTGTAGAATATTAATGTTTAAAAATGTAATAAAATGTATAACAAAGACAGAAACATGAAATTCCATGTAAAAAATTAACATGTACAGTATGCCTCACTGAAGTCTTAATTTTAGAAGCTGTAATCTGATCACCTATTACCACACTGTGGACTTTAAAAATATCGGGAGAAACAAAAATTCCAGAGGATTAATTCTGTGCCAGTAACAGCAATTCGACCAAAGCCATGTTTCATTCCCACCTCTCCCAGGCAACAATCTCTATTTTTTTTTCACCTTAACACCAAGGCCCGAGAAATTCCCAGAAAATAACTAGCTTAAAGACAGCCATTACCTTGAAGCTTCTTGTCAGCTGCAGCCTCCTGAAATGCAGCCCCTCCCCCAAGACTGGCCAGGCACAGCTCACTTCCCAGCTGCTTGGAGAAGGCTCCACCTCCTCCTGTGATGGGGAAAGCAAGGGGCCTTTCCCTCAATTAGAGGGAAGAGAATCGCCAAGTTAAACTGAAATTCACTTAAAGGGAAAAATGTTCATTTTTAAAGCACTTGAAAGCGGAATGGCAACACGTGTCTCTGTAAATTACATTCAAACCACAAGGGTGGGTGATTTCCTTTAAAAAAAGTAGAAATGTCTTTAGCATATAATAAAGACCTAGCAAAGAATATGTTTTGTGTATTATCTGATTAGTTTGGCACCTAATTTCTACAAATGATTTTAAGACCCAGCTGGTCAAGCTCCATTTATAAGACCCACTAGGTCCTTATTTCTGATTGCAGTAAATTAACACATTATTTTGTGGAGAATTAATTCTCTACAAATTCTTTTTGTACTGGGCTATGCTACTTCTCTTTTTTATTCAGGTCTCCCTATTTATCTTTCAGAAAGTTTCATAGATTTTACAACTATAATGAATTCTAGATATAAATAATCAACCAGAAGTCCTTAATAAGGTATATATCTGAACATAACTGAAACTTTTTTTAAAAATGCTAGGGTAAAACACAATAAAACAATGTTGAAAACAGAATAGCTTTCTAAGACTGTTTTCAATGCAAAAATATCACTATCCTAAAGCAGTTTTTACATATTACTAATAAATAAATAGCAAAGTAAAATGGGCAAAGAACAATATTTTGAGGGAATAATTCTGTTTACTTTTTTGTGAGCAAGATAATCCAGTGCAACCACAGGTATCTCTGTCCTTCTTGTGTAGTTACAAGTCTGCAAGCTGTTTGATTAGATTGCTTAAATTACAGGTTTATAAAGCCCAATTGATTTTTATAATAGTCAATGCCCTGCAACTTTTCCCTTGTACTAAAACTGGCATTTGTCTTCCATTTACAATTCCATTTACTTTATATCAATTTGTTCAGTAGAGAAAAGGAGATGCTGTTTATTATGGCTTCTCAAAATTCAAAATAAAAATTAAAACTGACCAATATATAAAAGGTATTCACTTTCCCTAATAAAGAGATGTAAATGTAAATAGATCTTAAATAGACCTGAGACGTCATTTTTCTGCCTAGTTTGACTGAAAAGAAGCAAAGAAATGACACAGTGAACAGTCACCAAGAAAATGGACACTTTCACACTCATGCCCAAGATAACAAATCTGGGAAGAAGGCAAGATAAAATCAGAGCCAAAGTCTGACCCCCAAACATGAGGATGTTCACTTTCTTCACCAGTAGTCACCATGTCCTGGGCCTGGAATTCTGTCTCTTCAGCAAAATCAAAGATTATGTTATTTACTTTGAGATTGTGAGGAAAATGGTGAACATAACCCCAGAGTGAGTGCGGCTTAATTTCATGTTCCTGCTGGGTAACACATGGTGAACTATGACCATCTTCAGTAACTTACCATACTCATTCATGAACTCTTTCCATCTCTTACATTCTCATACAAACTTAAAAATATTTTGGTAGACTTTGCTTCTGCAGTGAGTGTATCTACATGACAGCACTCACTTGGCCTTAGAACAGTTATGACATGTCTTTTTTTCTGTTGCTTGGTCTTGGCAATAACTTCCTTTTTAGATATGCCTATTCCTGGACAAGCAATGAAAATCATTTTTCATGCAATAAAGTGCCCATTTCATTTCACCCTTATTAACAATTGGCAATTCTTTGTTCCTGTGCTTTGTTGTTTATAATTACTGATTCAATATGGGAAACTGTTTTTCTATCATCTTTGGCTGAGCTTTTCCACAAAATCCTTGAGATTAAGACAAAAATTAAGATTTTTATTCCTTTAAGTTTATTTCCTAGGAAATGCTAAAACTTACACACTGATGATTCTGAGGTTTAGGTCTCTTAAAAAAATGCTTGCTAAATTTCAAAACATAAATTCTAAAATTTTCAGACAACCCCATTCATGATCACAGTGAACAGGTAAATGTATCTCCTGCCACATTCTACCAATTCAATTTAGAGAAACGGTTGTATTATGACATAACTTTTCCTGTAATGAACAGAGGAAAAAAAACCTATTTGCACTGGGGACTCTAAAGAAAGAAGAAGCCATCATTTTTCCAGAGTTCTAAAACAGAAGGGTCAGGCTGGGACAACATTATTCTATAACCACTCTAAAAGGGACATCAAGGGTTCTTTAAACAGTCAGGCAAGAAGTCAGACAGTTGTGGATTTGAAGCCTTTATTAGCGCTGTAGAAAGAAAACTTCTAAATCCCTGACAACTATTTAGGTGGTCATATTTACATTCTATTACAAAGATGCATGGACACAAAGATTTATAGGTAATGTGCATCTCTGATATTAACCTAGGTTATGGAAATATCAAATATTAAACTACATTTATGATATAGTAATAAAAACTGTAGATACCTGGTTTTCTAGAAAGCAGTGTTTTTTGAAGACATCTTACTTAAGAGCCTTTAGAGTAAATAAATGGTTCTTACTTGCTGTAGCCTTTTTATTATTCCCCTGAAACTTCACAATAGCTTGAATGAGGTGTTTTCAGTGAATGATAACTGGATTAGATTAAAACATGGCAGGGGGGGAAAAGATGAGATAAAATGTTTACTTGGCTATGCATAAAGAAGGCTGACCAACAATGGGGAATAGAGATAAGATACAAGTCAGAACAATAAATTGAATTGACAAAAGAGTTTTGAGACATACTTTGGGGGCCAGAAACAAAAACAGTTAAGCACTACACAACACAAACCCATACCCTATGTTTATTTTTCTCTTGTATAAGAAGAAGAGAATGTGTATAGGAGAGTCTTTGGCAATTAGGAATGTTATTTGTGTGCCTGGGATATCAGATCCTTTTGGATCTCTCTGAGTTATCATAAGTAATGCTGGATTTTAATGTTTTGCAAGCTGCTACTGCTTCCTGTTTTTCCAAGGCAACCAGACAGTGGTATTCAATACCAACAACTTCAATAAAAGCACGACCTGACCTTAGGAGTCAGAGTTTTATGATGGTTGCTGGGAAATAATTAAATGTGTTAAACCATTGCAAATGTTATTCTAGAGAGTACACAGATATCTAGGGAAGGTCATAAGACTTTAAGAAGTCTTAGGAAATCTCTGTAACTACATTATCTAGTACTTGGTGATGACAATCTATTATAGTTGTTAAGGTTCTGAGAGTAAGCCACGCACTGGAACCTCAAGTAGACATCTCAAAAGCCTCTTGCATGATTTCTTCATAGTGGTTTAATATATTCTCAAAATGAGAAGTTATAACTTTTAATTAAAAACGCTGTGGATGCAGAATGGGGAGCCAAATGAATTATACCTCAAATTCTCAATCAAGCATAATTTAAATATAAAATGATATTTCAAATTTAAGATGCTATGACTGTGGGTTGGGAGTATAGCTCAGTGGTAGAGCACTTGCTAATATGTGCAAGGCCCAGTGTTGGATTCCCAGCTCCACACATTCACAAAAAAAGATGCTACAACTGCAAAGCAGGAAGCAAAATAAATTATCCTTCATGATCTCAAAATGTTTTCATTGCACTATTTTATGAAATGGGAAGAGACTTACCCTCTGTCACCTGGATCGTAGTTGGTCTGGTCCTGTGATCCAGCTGCCTGATTTTCACTCTAACTGCTTACACAGCAGAGCTTTTACCCTGCTGGGCACTTTGGTTGCCCTGCTGCTTTTCTGGGGCTTAACTGGATTCACAGGCAGATTGTTCAAGTTGTGTACACCTCTGGTATTAAACTAGACTGTCCAAAAGAAAGACAGTAAACAATAAAATGGGAAAAGCATAAGAAGGGAAAAGCATAAGAAAATTTGCTTACCAAAACTCTAACAGGTAGTCATTATGAAACACAGAATCTCTGATGTAGATGTCATGTTTATTTTCCTTTGTGCTGTTTGAGTGTGTGAAATTCTTTCTGTTACACATTTATTATTAAATTCATGCTAAAGTCATCTCCCTCAGGAAAATTAGGAGGTGGATACATGACAGAAGGGAAGTAAAAACTTCTTTGTGTCTACTATGAGCAAAATGCTGTGTAGCTACTTTTAATACATTATGTGGGATTCTTCACATCAGTTTTTGTGGAGGTTTTTCTAGTATACACATATAACTTTCAACAGATTTTCAATCACACTCTACATACTGTCTCAAAGTAGGCTTAAACAAAATATGCTTCACAGCTTTGTTTATCCATTCCATAAAAATGGTTGCCTGGAGAAAGTTTAGGAAACCAGGCAAGCGCCATCTTGTGGCCAGAACAAGAACTGCAGACTCTTAGGTCCTTAGAAAGGAAGCCTTCTCTGGCTTCTGGAATTTTTCATTCAGCTTAAGAAGTTGTGTGCATGTGTTATACAAAAATAGGATCATAACGTCATAATTTTAGTATCTATCATTGTGATATCTCTTGTGCATATTGCATATCTTCCATCTTTTGAATTTCCAAAGACAAAAGCAAATCCCTATAACAATGGTTAAAATATGTATGGAAACTCTATATATAATTTCTATATTTTTCCTACAAATACTTATAAATGTGTATGGTTTTTGAAACCAAAACTTATATTCCTTCAATAATATATCTGGTCATCTTCAATATCAATAGCTATTTTAGGGGCTGGGGATGTGGCTCAAGCGGTAGCGCGCTCGCCTGGCGTGCGTGCGGTCCGGGTTCGATCCTCAGCACCACATACAAAGATGTTGTGTCTTTGTATGCCGAAAACTAAAAAATTCTCTCTCTCTCTCTCTTTCTAAAAAAAATAGCTATTTTATTATCTTTTTATGAATTACATTACAATAATTTTCTATATTTCTAAAATATTATCTTATTTTCTCATAATGCAAATAATTCCAGATTTTTTTAAAAAAATTTAGTTTTATATTTTAGTTTTTGATAGTCCCTTATTTATATGTGGTGCTGAGAATCGAACCCAGTGCCTCACAAGTGACAGGCAAGTACACTACCTCTGAGCCACAGCCGCAACTCCTCAAGCTTGTTTTTTAAAAAAGAAGAAATAAGCCTAAAGTGTTCTGTCTCTCCAACTCCACTTATATTTACAATTTAAAAAGTAGCATTATATTTCCAGATTTCGCTTGCATACACTGTATATATTCTTTTTTGAAAAATGTGGGATTGTATGATGCAGGTCATTCTCCAATTTGCTTTCAAAAAATATACACTGGATACCTTTTCTTCATTGAATTTAGATATAGCTCTTTCTTTTTATGGGTAAGTAGTATTCAACATTAAGGGTTTACTATCCTACATCACTATTCTAAAGTACACTTTAAATTTTTTTCTTAATTCTCAATAGTATATAGATGAATAGCTTCTGCTTGAATAAATAGTCTAACATTTAAATTGTAACAACAGAACAACAACCAGGTAACTAGCCTTCTCAGATCCACAGAAAAACCAAACTTCAGTTAAACACAGTGAAATGTGTGTGGGTATTTCTTCAGGTATGTTAACATAATTTATTATTTCCCTTTAAGCTCCATTGATATACACAGAGAGTCTGGAAGTTCATAAAATTTAAATAAGAAAATACACTTCATCAGAACTCCAGTCCCTGCATTATACACTACTTATATTTTAACTTAATCCCTTTGATTTTTTTCCTTCATCACACACATATACAAATATTCAAAGTTCTTTATTCAATTACATATTTTAACACCTTTTCATTTTTAAAATAAATTTATACCATTTTGGAGAAGGTAGCCCCCCCAAGACTTGAAATGCTCACTGCAGTTTTTTTTTTTTATGCTGATACAGATACTACACATTTAGTGAAATAGTGAAGGAGAAAATTTATTGTTTCCCCCCTTGATAGCCTTTATTACTAGACATCCTTTATTACTAGATATAATTTGCTTTATTGTATTCAGATATATGAATTACTTATGGTCTCTCAGGTATGTTTTATATTATCATACAAATAGGAACATACCATTCTCTCCATAGGTAGAGATGTAGACAAAGATCACCTTTTGCACATCATTAAACAAAACAACTCTTAAAATACTGTGTATCCACTGAACAAATAACCGAACTCCCAATTCTCTTAGGTACTTGAAACTGCGCAATTATATGTTACTTCAGGTCACTATACAAACTCTGACAAAACAATGATTTGCTTGAAACACAATCAACACAATCAAAGACATATAAAAAACAAAACATCCCTAACAAACAACTTCATTTTCATTTGGGATTATCATAACTGTTTTTTTTTTTCAAAATAAGGAAAATTGATTTCCCAAGTTTTGTTTCATCGTTTATTCTAGCCAGTACCGGTTTTTAATTGAAACAAAATGCCTTCTTCAAAAGTTAGGTTTGGCAACCGCATGAAAAAAAATTCCCCCCCCCCCGCAGGTGTAATCTGATCACTACCTCCCCCACTGTGGACTTCTAAAATATTTTAAGGAATACAAAATCCAGATATTAATTCCCTCACAGAAATAACGACTCACACGAGGTAGTGATTCCCTTACAGAATCAACGACTCACACAAAAACCGACTCTCCTTTCCCATTACGCCACATCAACACTCTTTTCTCTTCACCTTTACACCAAATCTTCTAGAAGTCTCTGAAAATAACCAGCTTTTACGACAGCCGTTACCTCCAAGCTCCTTCTCTTCAACGGAAGCCTGCGAAGCCTGTATGTAACTCGGCTCCTCCCCCTTGACTGGCCAGGCTCCGCTTGCTTCCAAGCCTCTAGAAGAGGCTCCGCCCCCTCCCTGTGATGGGAAAAGCGGGAGGTCGTTCCTTCATTCAGAGCGAGGAGAGTCATTAAGTCAAACCAAAACACAGCTAAAAGAAAGAAATGTTGTTTAAAACGAACTTTAAAGTGCAATCACAAGATATGTCTGTTCAATATCAATTCAGACCCCCCTAGAGCGAGTGATTTCCTTGGGGGAGGGGGAGAGATTGCATGTCTCTTACTTATATTTTACAGAAGCCATTAAAATATTCCTAACGTTTTTTGTGACCCTTTCGCCCTTTATTTTTGGTAAATGTAAGATCTGTTGGTTAAACTACCCACCAAAGGATGCTAAGGATCTTGAGATTTTAGTGAATTAATACTTATTTTAGGTACAATAGATTCTTTACACTTTTTAATTTGAGCCTGGGACACAGTATATCTTTCTTTTCGTTGAAGTTTTTTAAAAAACAATTTCCTTGGTCATTTCTAAAGAAAAACCCTCAAAGGCTGATTATACTGAATCCTAAAAACATTATATGTATCTGTAAGACCATAATAAGCCAAAGTAAAAAATCAATAAATATGGAACTCCTTTTCAGTGCAAATGATTGGATACAGTAAAAATATCTCTGAGCTAGTTGCTTCATTTCAATAAGAAAGAAATTCACAACATAGGGAAGAAAGTGGCAAAAAGTCTGGGAAGAAAGGGAAGAAAGTCTGCAGTGACTTAAGCAGACAATTCCTAACTTTCTTCCTTATTCTTGTGCAACTTTAAGATTCTCGGCTACTACACTAGAGAGAGGTTTCTTCATTAATGAATTATTTTGCTTAAATGTGGAGTTCTGTTACTCTCATTTCACTCCCACAATAAGATATATCCTGCAATTTCCCTTCCTCTCTTAACCCATTATGTCCTGTCATCACATTTATGGAACACCTATAAAACTTAAATTGAACAACAAATATACCATTTAGGGTAATTTTAAAATAGTTAGGTTTTTGGAGTTCTGTACTTCTGAGAAAAGTAATAGATGAATGATTTTTGATAATATTCATTAATATTACAAATTACATGTTGATAATAAATTATATATGAAGCTTCTAGATTAGTTTCAGCCTATTTTAACATACTTGTGTCAGTGTCATTGCAATATTCACAGAGTTGAAAACTTGAAACTTAATGGATTCATAAAGCCAATATTTGGTTTGTTTTATTCCAACTTGTTCTTCATTTTTTGATCACTGTACAATTTTATGTTCCCACTAAATTACCTCAAAATGTTCATCATTTTTGATCACTGAACAATTTTATGTTCCCACTAAATTACCTCAAAATGTGATAACGAAAACAATGAATAGAAATAAATCATTTGACAAGAAAAGTTTAATTAGCTCTAACGAAATTTGTGTGAAATAGTGGTCAGTTCCTCCTGAGGCTCTTTTAACATACAAAGCATTTTGATTCTCCCAGATGAAAGTCTATTTATTTTTCTCCTCTTGTATTGTCTACTATAATTTATTTACCCCATCTTATTGAATTGTAATACACAAAAGTTTATATATTCAAGATGTACAATCTGATGATTTGTTATATGTATAAAATTTGAAGTGATTATCACAAGGCAATGAACATATCCATGACCTTACATAATTCCTGTTGTGTGTGTGTGGTATGGTAATAATACTAAGATCTATAGTCTGTGGAGTTCTGTTAGTCTGATTTCACTCTCACAATAAGTTCTATCCTGCAATTTTCCTTCCTCTCTTAACAAATTTCAAATATATACTATATTATAATTAAAAACATCCACCATATTGTACATTAAACTTCCAGAATTAATTCATCTTATAACTGAAAGTTTGTACCCTTTGACCAAAAAACTCCCTGTTTTCCTCAACCTTGATTCCTGCTAACACCATTCTACTCCATTTTAGTGACTTTAAGTTTTTTAGACCTCGAATATAAGTGAGGACATGTAATATTTACCTTTCTGTGTTTGGCTTATTTTACTTAGCATGATATTCACATCATCTGTGTTGATGAAAATGGCAAGATTTCCTTCTTCTTTAAGGCTTAATAATAGTCCGTTATACATATATCACTTTTACTGTATTCATTCATCATGGATGGACACTTGGATTCCTTAAATTTCTTGACTATTTGAATAGCACTGCAGTAAACCTGTGAGTACAGATGTCTCTTCAGCATACTGATTTCATTATCTATGGATATATACCCAGTAGTGGGATTTCCCAGTCATATATTAGTTTTGTTTTTAATTTTTTTGAGGAAACTCATGAAAGAGATGTACCAATTTATATTCACATCAACTATGAATAATGGTTCCCTTTTCTCCACATCCTTGTCAAAACTTTTTACCATTTGTATTTTAGATAATAGCCATCCTAACAGGCATGAAATGATACGTTTCTTTTAATATGTTTTTTAGTTGTAGATGAATACAATATCTTTATTTGTTTACTTTTATGTGGTGCTGAGGATTGAACCCAGTGCCTCATGCGTACAAGGCAAGTGTTCTACCACTGAGCTACAATGCTGGCCCTGAGATGATAAGGTGGTTTTGACTTACTTTATGTTTACCTGATGATTACTGATATCAAGCACCTTTGTCCATTTATATATTGTGTAACTTGTTTGATTTTTTTACTATTTAATTTTATGAATACCTATATATTTTGGGTATTGATATTTCATCAAATATATAGCTTGCAAATATTTTCTCCTACGGTTGTCTTTTCATCTGTTTGATCATTTCCTTTGCTGTGCAAAAACTCTTTAGTTTCATATAGTCCCACTTGTTCATTCTTATGACTTATAAGTTCCCTCAAGAACTTTTATATAATTTTAAAAAAATGAAAGCTTCTCAATACTGAAATTCTATGAAACATTTTGTATTCACAGCAATCTCTACAAGATTGTCAAAGTAGTTCTTCTCATGTGTATCAAGGATATAAGACTAGGGATGATTGTTTATTAAAACATAGTCTTCAAGAACAGAGAAATTAACAAGACTTTCAGAAATGTTGCTATTTAGAAGAAAAAGATTCTTCTCTGACGTGTTTCTTTTTATTATTGTTGATATTATTTTTATTTTCTTTGCTATTTAAAAACTAGTTTAAAAGCAACAAACATAAACATGTCAAAATATAAAATATTGACAATGCAAATGTTGATAAAGATGAAGAGCATTTGGAAGGTTTATAAAATGGTGATAAGATTGTAAATTGATACTAATATTTCAGGAACTATTTTGATCTTATTGCCTAAAGCTGAACATTATGGAGGACACAGAGAACCATTTAGAGGTTTAATTAGAAGAGCAGCATATCTAAATTGACAGTAGAGAAATACTTCCCAGAGAAGGCTATGAATACTTCAGGGCATATATAAGACCATCCAGTGTGCATAGGAAGTCAATGTTCTAAATTCTTTGTTTTTCATTTTGATTTATTTTATAAAACTCTGCTTAAACACGTTCTTAAATGCACACAATAAAGTATTCATACTATGACACATTATACATGTTGGAACAATCAAACTATTGGGGTGAATATCAATATTTTTCAAGTCATGGTAGTTAATATGTGGCAAAGTAAGATTTACAACCTACATGGCTCTCCCACTTCTCCATGATTTGCATGGTTTGGCATTATCATCTTATAAAAAAGAATAATTAGTCTAAATGTACTAAATTTCCTACTGCTCAGAGAAGCTAACATTACTCCCATTAAATATTTAAAATAATAATGAGAAATTGAATTAGAATAAGCCATGTTTTTACAAAAGGATTGGTCCTTGCAGTTTAGAACAAGCTACAAAATATGTGGACATACAGTTACTCTATTTGTACTGCAGTAATAATAAAAAACAATAATGGAAATTTTAAAAATATCAACCTAAATTTAATTTTTATGTTCTGTATTTGAATTTGATATATTGAAAATAATGGATATACCTCAGAATTTGACATATTGAAAATAATGGATATACATATTGAAAATAATGGATATAACTGAGAGGTATAGTGCTTGCCTCACATTCACAGGACCCTGGGTTCCATCCCCAGCACCACACACATACACAATTTATGTTTGAATGCCTGAAAAATTCCTAAGAAAATCTGAATCTGTGAAGACAAAGTATCAAGCATATCAAGTTTTGGCACAAAAATCTTTATTTAAATTCTTACTTAAACATTAAATTATTTATTTTTTAAGATAAAAATAAAATTATAAAATAAATATTGTGTGTGTATTATATTCTAATATGTTAAGAGGTTAACTATATTTAGTTTCAATTAAACCTTTCTCATATGTGTTTATGTATGTCCATATATTTATGTGGTTCTGTATATTTCAATACAATATACAATGTGATGTTAATTTAAATAGTAGTTTAGGAGCAATAAAAATAAAAGAGTTAAACAATTAAACTGAAAAATAATCTTAGAATATGCAATAAACTGAAAAGATTCTTCTCAGCAAAAGGAAACAATCAATTACATGAAGAGAGAGCTTACAGAAGGGGAGAAAATCTTTACCACATGCTCAGATACAGCACTCATCTCTAGGATGTATAAAAAACCGAAATAACCCAATCAAGAAATGGGCTAAGGAACTGAACAGACACTTCACAGAAGAAGAAATACAACCGATCAACAAACATGAAAAAAAGTTCATCATCTTGAGCAACTGGAGAAATGCAAATAAAAACTACTCTAAGATTTCATCTCACTCCAGTGAGAATGGCAATTATCAAGAATACAAACAATAATAAGTTTTGGTAAGAATGTGGGAAGAAAGGTACACTTATACATTGTTGGTAGGACTGCAAATTGGTGCAACCACTATGGAAAGCAGTATAGAGATTCCTTAGAAAACTTGGAATG